TGGCTGGAGACCAGGGATAATCTGGTGCCTAAACGTTTATTTCACTTTTAGGAAATTTTCAGCTTCTAATGTAAGTTATTTAGGAGAAGAAATAGCCAAAACACAACGGCTGCGACCTGTTCTAGTTAAGGCTTTTAGAAAAAATAACTGGTTGGATTATCTTGTGATGGCTCTATTATGTCATCTCTGTAGCCAATAATTTTATAGTTTCTTAAGTGGGATTTGGCTTCATAGCTGACTATGCTGTTAGCAGTTTCCCTCTGTTGACTGTGACTTTGAGTTTGTTTTTTAGTCTTGTCATTGCTACGTGGACTCGGTTGCAATCTCCACAGCTATTTCTGATAGGGAGAAGTTATGAAACGCAAGCACTGCTTTGAAGGACGCTAAAAGAAAAAGCTTAATCTATCTCAGCTGTCAAGTTTTTGTTTAATAATTTACAGTTTGTAATATGAGTTAGTCGTACAAGTAGAGCTTTGGGAGTTAATATGGAATGATACCTTCTCAATAGGTGCAGTAATCAGAACCAGCTTCTATGGCAGGTCTGTAATCTACTCTTAAATGCGTCTGTTCTGCAGCTCGACTTAATGTTCATGTTAGGTAGACTACTGAAGGGATACTGTTCCTGTTCAAAGCCTATAAAAAGTCCCTGGCCTATGCAGCACTCTTAGAATAGCTCTGTAATAAGAGCATAGTAAAACATGTGGTGGCAAGTTTATTGTGATGCCTTCTAGTGTGTTCTGATGAAGTCAGGTGACTGAGGCTGATTTTGCTAACTAAGTTTCAGACTGAAGTCTTGAAATGCAGTGCTTCTGTACTGTTTTGAAAGATTACCCTTTGTTTAAGAGACAGGAGTCCCTTACTGATCTGCTAATTTAATCTGATGAGGTGTTCAAGACAAATTAATAACGTCAATAAAATAAAACTTTGTTTTCTGGAGTTTATATCCTGTTAGGATACTGTGATACCAGTGCTATTATGGCATTGCAATATTAACCTCCACTAAAACTGTTTATCTGGGTAGGCAAAATTGAACATTGACGCAGTTAATGCTTAGCTCTGAAATACTTCTGTAAACAGCTCATTTTGCATACTTATTCATGTGTATGCTTAGAAAAGATGAAGCCCCTAAATGAACTTTGAGGCAGTGTTTTCATGATCAAACCTCTTTTCTAGACTCTTCTAACATGCTGTAAGAAGCTTGTGCATGTGTTAGGCAAGAAAGATGTTAAACAAGAGAGTAATATAAACTGAAAGCTTGCCAAAGACCAGCATTTCCTGTTTTCAGTGTGAAAACTCAGGATAGTGGCAGGGGGAAGTTCAGCAACAAAGGAACTTTAGACATTGGAGAACATATGCTTGGTTGACTAACTCTTTTGCCTTAAAAGCCTATATTTTTCAGGAAGCAGTTAGAGGTGGTGCGTTTTATTTCTGGACTGGCTTTTGCCACATTGGTTTGCTGTAGAGTTGTGCTGTTGTCATGTTTTTCCCATTTTCTGCTTTACGTTTTATCTAATGTCTCTTGCTAAAGACAATGAGCTCTTCATATCAGGGTTTTAAAAGGCTGATGACTCTTCTAGCCTTGCAGTTCAGTTGTCTAACAGATAGGGAACTTTATGCTGCTAGTATATCTGTGAAGATTAAAAGCAAAAGCTATCTTTAAATGAGTTAGGTAACTACTGCCTTCCTGGTAGATCCTTTTAATGAAGTAAGCAGACTTCATGAGCTCTGTCAAATTCCTGTAGAGAACTAAAACTGTAACTTTTGTGTGGTTGTCACTAGGAAGAAGAGCGTGATATATCTTGACTTCCGCCCCCCCAATCATTTGTTAGTCACTTGATTGTTGCTTCTATAACTCAAGGGAGAATGTTGTAAATGTATCAACGGCCTTGCTGACTTGGGTTAAAACATTTGTGGCTCAACAACACATCTCCAGGAGTGCTCAATACCGTCTAGTCCACAGAAGAATATAGGGTCAGGACATGTGGTGATCTTCCCAGAAAACTATCCAAGGTCTCAACAATCTGTGGCTTAAAAGCGTTCTGAGCTGCGAATGAACATGTGGAGTTGCTTTCCGAATCCATCTAAATTCTTGGCACCTCATGTATCCTTTGGCAAGTTCTGCAGTTTAACTATATATTATATGAAGAACCATTGTCTTAAGTATTTTTTCAACCTGCCATCAGGTGGTTTTGTTTGACGCTCCAAGCCTTTGTATTGAAATTCTTCAATTCATCTTATGCAGTTGAGTCTTAGTTGTTCCTGATCATCAAGAGCAAGTGACCATAGTCTGTATCCTTTTCAGCTGCACTGATGCATAACACAGTATTTTGTGTTTTGATTGCCTGCTGTGCAATGCTTTGTCAGCCCCGTGAGTTTGCATAAGTGTCTCCTTTGATCCATGATGAATACATATTTATGTAAGCTATTTATTGTTGGCCCTCTGTTCTTAAAAAAATATCTCCTTTTGGTTAGTATTGGCAAAACATGCCCCCTCAAATGCTTTGTTGGCTCAACAGTGAGTACCCAGTGATTCAGCATTAGATGTTGAAAGTGTTGAGCTGAAAAAGGATTGCTTTTGAGAAAATCCAGTCAGTGTCGGCATGATAATAAAGCACAATAGGAAGAACGTCCGCTGAAGAATGATCTTTATAACACATGAAAACTGTGGTCTTGGCTAGGGTGAGTGATATTACATAGTGAGAAATATAGTTCTATATTCAGTAGTGTCAGGGAAACTTTGCCCTTTATATGTGTTTGTATTTTGCATTGTATTGCCTAGCTGTGTTTTTATTTAATTAAAAGCATTGGTTCTTGTCTTCAGAGAAGTTTATCTTAAAATGTTACGAGAATTTCTATCTTTCATTGGTAGAAATGTTAATTCATATTCCTGCTGTATCGTGCAAAGCTGTCTTTGAGATGTCTCGGCCTAATGGAGCAACTAGACAATGTTATATTTTAAATCTGTTGTTATAACATTTGCTTCTGAGGCTTCTTACCAGAAAGATGTTGAATATTATAAAACTTCAAGCCTTTATAAGAGATACAGGAAAGCACTAGGGTAGGCTAGTGTGGTGGCTCTCGTTCCTTGGTAGTTCTGGCCTAAGTAGCTCCCAGCTGCCTGTGTTCCTCTGTCCTCCCTGCTGCTGTGCTAACATACCTGTTTGTGCAGCTGCTTGGTGATTTAGAGTGTGGAGACGGATCCAAATGAAACACAGCCCAACAAGGGGGGACGGAAAAAATAGATGGTTATTTTTCTGTTGAATTAACTTCTGTAACCCATTTATGTGGAGTACATGCAGTCAAGCTGACTGATGCAATAAGGATGATAACACAGATGGAAAAGTATGAAGGGGCTGCCTAAGCAGCTCTAAGTAGATATGAAACCTTAGTCATGGGTGAATGTGAGGCCCTCCTGATTTCAATGGCAATTCTTATTTCCTGCCTAAAAGTCTTTCTGTGACTTCAGAATATAATAACAATTCAGCAGTACAGCAGTCAGTGCAAATCAATGTGTGTTTTCCATGAATTAACAATGGTTCGAATGGGGGGAAAAAAAAAAAAAGACTTGGCCAAATACTGAAAAATAGCAAAATGAGAATTTTGAATGGAAGATATTTTAAAAATGACCTAATAGAAGAAATCGTACTTCATACATCAAATTGCTACATGGACCGGAACAGATGAGTGTAAAGTAGAGGTCAGTGTTGAAAGACTGGATGAACAAATTGCAGTTTTTCCAAATGAGTATCTTCAAATGATTACTTTGAGCATCCATATTTTACAGTATACTCATAAAATAGGGATTTTATTTTACACAAATGCACTACCTAACTGTGTTCATTTAGGATAATTATAGACATGGATAGAGAAATACAGTATTGTTGCTATTAATGTGATAGCAGACATGTTTTTGAGACTGAGCTGCTTTAACACTGTTTCACAGTGAATATCGACACACTACAGTTAGAGCAGTCATGCAAACTAGATTGCAGTAACGCAAGTGTTAGTCTGTCTGCGACTTCATGAACAAACAGGGACAGTTGAAAAAAAAGTCCTGTGGCTATTGCCTAGCTTTCGACACTTTCTTGTTCTTAGTGGAACTGTTGTTTTGACCAAGAAATGTTCTTTTTTTCCAAATTAAATAATTTAATTTTATTATAGACTACTTTTGTGTAAAAGAGAAATGCGTTAATTAGATTCAAACGTGTCTCCAGGAAGGGTATCTAAGATAGGAGGCTGAACTCCTACAATTCCTGTCAGTATTTGAGAGAGAATGTATGAAAATGTCTAATCAGATACTTGATATGTTCACTTGGTAGCAGCAATCGGCATGTTGGTGAATCACCTGCAGAAGTATTCTACATAAATAGTTCATTATTGTATATTTCACTTTACAGTATTGCTAATTGTCTTTCAGGAAATGGAGGATAAGGTGATCAGCCCAGAAAAAGTTGAAGAAGCAAAATTGAAAGCAAGATATCCTCATTTGGGCCAGAAGCCGGGAGGCTCAGACTTCTTGAGGAAGAGGCTTCAAAAAGGAGTGAGTTCTTTATTGTCCACAGAGTGTGGACAAGAAATTCCAAAATTCTAGTATCTGTGGTTCACTCTGGTGCCCCGCGCCCCCCCGCCCCTCCACTCCACGGGTCTTTGTGTGAGTGAAAGAGTGCTAAGAAATTTAAAATTTGTCTGTGAAAGCACAAGAAGAGAAATTTTGTTTCCACAAAACAAATGCCAAGTTGGCAGAATAACTTTTTACAGCATCAATGGCTCAACTATGCTTTTTAGAAAAATTAAAGTTAGAAGCTGGCTCGGTGCTGCTGTAATAAGACTTCATAAAAAAACATTATAGTAAATGATAAGGGCCAGAACCTCATCCCTGTTTTGTACTGATCTTATCTTGCCCATTCTTACGTCCCCAAAACATATGTCCGCTCTTACTATCCCTGTTTTTACCACATGAAAGCTTTGTCTGCTGTGTTACACCAGGCACTATCTGACATCAGTAGCTTGAGAATGGCTGAGTAATTCTGAATATACACCCTAACCAAAAAATAGTGGTAGAACAATGAAGAGTGAGTTAGTATTTCAATATTGTTCCACATTTAACCAGTGTCTCTTACTTTCTTAGTTATTCAACTGTTTATTTTTTTAGTTTAATTATTCATAAAGTGATTATGTAATGCCTTTCAGGCATGGTAGAACTCTGTCTTGGAATAATCCTAGTATATCACTACTTTTGATGGTGCTTTCATTGCTGTCACAGTGGTTTTGTTTTGTTTTTTACTGTTGTCTAGGCCCTTTGAGTACATGCAATGATTCCAAGTATAAATCCTTCTGTATAAATCAGCTGTTGCAGTTCAGTGCTGATCTAATTCTGTGCTGTCTGGTAACATCTCCTGAGACTTGTTACTGTTGGCAGGTTTTTTGGATAAGCTTTCTCTCATAAGTTGGAGCGTATGGAGCATAGTTAATGGTGGCTGGGCATGGGCAGGTGGTAGATTAGGTGACTCCTTTTGTGAGTTATGCTGTTATCTGGTCAAAGACAGCCTAAATGAGACTTCACTGAATTCAGTGTCAACACAGAAGGGAGAAGGTAGGTATGTATTGTGATGATAATTCAGGAAAACAGACCAGCATCCGCTCCCTAAGGACTGATGGTCATAAAGGAATTACGACTGCTTGTACTCGGTGCAAGTGTGAGGAAAACTCACCACCAGCAATAACAATCTGTACAATATCTTCATCTTGATGATAGCACTATTTAATGTAAAGGGTGTCGTAGCCTGTATTTTCAAATTTGAGCAGAGGTAGACCAGTGGGCATCTTAATTGACTAAGTGTTTGGGATTTTGCTACTTTCATGAAAGATGGCATAAAGTTGTGGATTCCAGTTTGTAGTCCGGTGCCTTCAATTCTCCACTCCTGAAGTGGTGGTAGTAACTTCCATTTTATTTTTTATTATTTTTGTTTAGCGTGCTCAGTGTCTTAAATGAGGAAGCATCTTTACTTGATACAGATGCCTGGTGTACTTCGGGCTGCCTGGATTGCTGAAGTTTAAAATAGAGTGGGGATAGTGAGTATGGTTTCAGATAGTGTTTCTGACACGAAGACAACTGGACAGACATAGTTTGAAAGGGATGATTGAATACAGGCCACCTGTGAGAAGCTAGAGTAAATCAGAGGAAAATACAGGAATAAGTTAAAGGAAGACATGGACTGATGTTCTAATGCGTGAAAGATGGTAGGTTTTCTCAGATATTGTTCTGAATGTATGTAGTCAACTGTAGCCCAGTTTTTCTTCCATTTGGCAATTAGGACCCACTCTGCCCATTTGGTATTTGCTCTCCAGAAGTGTTCTGCATTGGATGCACACACCATTACTAGCACACTTTCTCCAGAATAATAGTAGACAAGAACCATGCTACACCGTGCTCCTGTAGAGAGATTCTATTTGGAGCTCTTACGTGGACAGAAATAGATACCTGTTAGCAGCAGTAACACATCTAAAGATTGAGCAATTCTGTTATTACCTAGGTGCTGTTTAAAAGTTTCTTTTGGTTGCTTCAGTCTTGAAGGGCAAAATATGAAAGCCTTTTTCCAAATCAGATTATGTTATAACTTGAGGTCTAGTCTGCAGATGCAGTGCTAGAACATTGTGGTGTAAATGAGGATTACACCATCGAAAGGGTTGAATTGGGAAGGTTTATGAATAAAAGTGTGTGGTTCAGATGTACTGCTGACTGCATGGGAAAACCAGATTTGGTAACTTCAAGGCTCTGGCAGGGAGCATTTAAAGCCTTCTTCAGGAGGCCTTGCATAAACAACCTTCCCCACCCCCTTTAGGTAAAGGCCTGTTAAGTCAGGTGTTCATTACTTCTTTGTAGCAACTGCTGCTACTGAACATTTTGCAGCTGGTTAGTACTAATGCAAAATAAAGAGTATGGTAATAATATACTGCCTGGAAACAGTTAAACATAGCAGGTAGTGATGGGTGTTGTTCAACTGACTGAGGAATAACCCTATATAGAGCTAACTAGGGAGTATTCTCTTCAGAGATGATTGTGATTGTAAGCAACAGTTGCTAGTGTAAATCTTTGTCCTGAATCTAATTTTTTTGGCCTTGTATGTCAGTATGTTCAAAATCATGGGTTACAAGTATCTTAATAGTAGACCTCATAGTAAGATGTAAACAAAACACAACTTTTCCTGCAAAATGTGTCAGTGAGCATTTGAAGACTTGATGCAGACCTTGGATGAAATTCCATGCCTCATCTTACCGTGATGCAGATAAATCATAGCAGCCATTTGGCTTTAACATCCATAGTTAACTTATATTGAGAAATCTGACAACAAAAAAGGCTGTTGAAGGTAATGCTAATAAAAATTTTGCTGAAATACTAAGGACTATGTTTTAGAAATTCAAACTTAATGTACTCACTTTTGTATTCAGAAGAAACGTGGAGTGTGTGGTAAGAATTTCCTTCACATAGTGCTTTTCGGAAGGACTGCTCAGTAGATTTGACTGCTAAATAATTGGTTGGGGAACTTTAGGGATTATAGTTTCACTGTTTTAATGTATGCAGATAAGAGGTTTTCTTGTTAGCATGCAGTTTCATGCTACTTTGATCTTCTGGTATGATAGAGCAGGCTCTATTCTCCAGCTTTAGTTCATGCGTTGTTTGATTATGCTGTGTAGCAGAACTTGTTCACTGCAACAAAGTTACAAACTCCAAAGCTTCATGTGTGGGAGACCAGAGCTCTTGGGAAAACCAGGGCAAAAATAATGTTCACATGTGGTGTGAGTTTAATCGTACGTGTCGAACCTCAACTGTATACTTACCTAATGTTAAGAGTTTAGCCATGTGTGCGCTTAGTAGTCTTGATTTTTTTTTAATTGACGAAGAGCTACTTTGCAAGAGAAGGAAGATTTTATAACTGTTCTTAAAATTTAGAGAGTCTATTTAACCATGTAATTCAGTGTATGCATCTGATAAGATTTCAGGCTTTTAAATATATGTGTGTTTTGTCTTCTAGCAAAAATACTTTGATTCTGGTGATTACAACATGGCTAAAGCAAAGATGAAGAATAAGCAACTGCCTACTGCAGCTCCTGACAAGACAGAAGTTACTGGTGACCATATTCCTACTCCACAGGATCTTCCACAACGGAAACCATCTCTTGTTGCTAGCAAGCTGGCAGGCTGACGAGAACAGCTGAACTGCATGATTATTCTCATTCCTGTTATTTCTCCTTAATAGTTATTTCTCACCCTCACATCCCCCTTTTTCTTTCTTACACTAAATCATGAGACTGACAGCTTTGCAGGTAGCGATAGCATGTGCTGCTATTGTAAGGGAGTACTGTTAAGAGTAAAACGTGTAGTATTTGGACTAGTTGAGAACAATGCACTGATGAAAAAGGACAAGTTTGGTTAGAGCAATGTAATCTACTTGAAAATGTACATATTGCCCATTTCCTAGTGTAGGACTGGTTCCAGCAAGTGACATCGCAAGTTTTACAACTTCTAATGTTTCTGCTTTTGTTATTTCATCCTAATTACAGCATATTTGTATTTAATATAACCTCCAGTTGTGTTGGTTTTTTCTTCTGTGTTTGGGTTTGTTGTCTAAAATAGAGGTTTAGACCACAAGTTGCTAGATGGTAAAGCATGTACAAAAAAAAAGACAGGGCTCTGATTGAATTTTGTTTCTGCTTTTGAACTTGAACGGCCTTAAACCTGTTTCAGCTTTAACAATAGAGTTTTTACTTGGGCAATATTTGCCCATTCTGGTGTAACTCTTGTGAATCTAGTGCTTATTGACAACTGCCTGTTGAAGCTGGTATTCTTTTCAGTTCCGTAGCTTAGGACACACTTTTGTTGAAGATGTGAATGAAGTGTGCATGTGCATAGACTGTTGAATTCACTCTTGTGCCATTTTTGTAAATACAATAGTTTTGCACAACCTTTTGCAAACGTCTATTAGTTTTACATTTTAAAAAGCAGATAATGTGCCAATCAAAGCACAAGTGATTCTGTATCTTTCAAAGTCTTGTCCTGAAACTAAGAGCCCAGACTCTTGCTACTGAAAGTAAAAATTGTATACCTGAAATTTGTGAAACACTTACATTTACACTTGGCTCAGCCTTATTTTTTTTGCGGTTGTGTATTTTTGTTTTGCAACAATGTCCAGCATTCAGATACAAATCTGGAATTTGTACCTATATTTGGAGGCAAGTGCCCTTTCAATTCAGCAGCTCTGTAAGCTTTTAAAGCTGAAATGCTCTATCTGATGACATGGAAGATGGCTAAAAGTACTGTTCTGGAGTTTCCTGTGTGGCAAACATCAAATCTAGGCTTGCTAAGGTTTGATATGCAATTGTCTTTGGGCTATTTTAGACTTCTGGAAGCAGAAGGGTATAATTTTTTTTTTTTTCCTTGGACTCCTGAAGTGGTAGTAAAGTATCTCCTTTTCTCTTTGTTATACAGCAGTCGCTCATTGACTTTGGGGAAGCAAAGAACTGGAAGTGGTATTTATATAATAACCTATTGAGAAATAGGTAACTTTTCATGTCAGAAAATAGGAATGAGCGTCAGTTCATCTTTATGATACAAGTCGTAAGTACTAGATTGCCAAAATACATAGATTATATTAAACAGGTAACTTGATGCATCTAAAAGCATGTTTGTTCAATGAAATCAGAATATTAAAAGTGCAGTATGATCCGTAATGTATTTGATTTTCATATAGGTAATCACAGCCTTGATGTTCTTTGGGAGTGCAAGACTCTTAAAAGATCAGTTTATGGAATACCTTTTCCTTTAAAGAAACAGTTCTGAAACACCCTACTAAAAACAAAGCACCAATGTGGGTATTATAAGAGAAAACACTCTTAAAGATGCATGTTTTTAGAACTGTGTGCTTTGTGTTGACATAGTCAGAAAGGTCTTACAGGATAAAGGACTGCTAGTCAAAAAGAGTGCTGACCCCTATTTTCTGCAATGCTCTCTTCTAAAGGCAGACATAAGAAAATGATCAAGAGAAAATGACTAATCTTAATTTGGTCCTGTTTTGATCAGAACATGAGCAAAGTATACTGATGTCTATATAATGTCTTTGGCTCAGAGAAGTCATTCCAGAGAATTTCTAAGTTGCTAACCTGATTCTTTTCAAGTCTGTATAGCCCTTTTCTCGTAATTAAATGGGCTCTGTCAAGCCTGTCCTCGTTGCTTATCTTCTGCTAGTACTATAAAGAATTTGTGATTTGTGCAGAACAGTTGAAGAAACGGACCTACTTGACTTCTTTAAGTAAGAAATTAGGCTGGAGAATAGCAAGGAAACTGGATATGTTGAAGCAAACTGCTTTTTATAGATGTTTGTCCTAGTGTGAAAATCCCTCTTTATTTTTGTATGTATAAATGAAATTGAAACGAAATGATAGGACTGGGCCTGAAACAAATTTTGAACAATTGAAGGTGACTTGCTGTGTGTTGTCTGGTGCCACTATTCTCTAGCTTACATAAGGTGAGCTTTCCTGATGCTTGGAAAGGTTTAAAAAAAATAGCCATTTAAATTTAAACATTCCACTCGGTTAGCTATAGCTCAGCTTGTCCTGCTGGTTGGAAAG